CCTCCCTCCTCCCTCCCTCCTTCCCGCCCTCTCCCTGCTGGTTCTCTTCGCCAGGGCCCTGCCAGCGGCGATCCTGGTGACCGCCCCGTGGGGCTGGGTGGGTCGGACCAAGGGCGGCCAGTCCACGTGTGGCCGGCGGCCACTCGGTCAGCCACCCCCCTCCGTCCAGGGATCTGGAACCAGACGGTGCAGGGAGTGAGCGCTGCCTGGACTCCGATTTCCACTCTGATTTCCAAAAATAGCCGCAGGGCTGCCTCTGACATTGTAACGTGTTCATCTCCTCTGACATCCTGCCAGTGTCACCTTTCCCAGTCCTGTGTGCACGTGTGTGCACGTGTGTGCGTGTGTGCGTGTGTGTGTGTGTGTGTGTGTGTGCACATGCATGGTTTATGTGAGTCAGGGTCCGCAGGGTTTTAAAATCTCTCCCTATTTTATTTTATTTATTTAAAAAGGTCACAGGTCACGGGCCCTAGGATCCCTCACGTCCTGGCCTGGTGCCGTCCTGTATGGGGCTCTGGCTGAGGTGCAGAGGGTCAGCTGTGTGGGTGCCGCCTGCGCCCCCCGATCTGTGGCTGCTCTTTGTCGGGGGTGGGGGTGGGGGGTCTGATGGATCTGGGTCTCTCCCTGAGGCGCCTGCCAGCCCTCGGGCACGCGCCTCTGTCCCTGCCGGCCACTGGGTCGGCCTGACCGGTGGGCCGGGTTTCCCGGGAGTTCCCGTCCCCTCTCCCCCCCAGGAGGAGACTCTGCCTTCGGGGATTTCCCTTGTTAACGGTGGGCCACCGAGGCCGGTTCCCCCTCTGGGCCGATGGGCGGCCGAGGTCGGGGTTCCTCTCCGCAGGCGCTCGCTGCGCCCGGGGTGGGGTGGCGTGAGGCCTGTTTGTGTGCAGCGCCCTCGGCCCTCGGTGCTGATGTGGTCACCGGGCTGGAGTCCGGTGAGGCCCAGCTGCCCCGGCGCCGGGTCCCAGCCCGGACGGGAACAAAGGGGCCTTGAGCACAGGCAGCTGATTTGGACCCACAGGCACGCCGCTGGGCAGCGGTGTCCGCCGGTCGGGGCAGGACGGGAGTCCCCCAGGCCCGTCCGCTCTGCCCGCGTCTCCCCCGTGGGTGGTGCAGGAGGACGCTGCTGCTTGGGTTTGTAGGGAAAGGTCTGTGGTCAGGGCGGTGTCGCCGGCAGAAGCCATGTGGGTAGGTGTCCAGCGTGGGGCCGCGTCGTTGCTAGTCGTTAGTGAGCGGGGAAGGAGCCTTCGTGGCGGCTCCTCGGCTGTGACATCCAGACCTTCTCGCTCTGCCAGCTTCTCCGTGACGCAGCGGCACCTACCCCTCTGCACCCGGGGCCCCGCCGCCTCCCGCCCCGGGGCTGAGGGTGGGGCTGCTGGCCGCATCGGGTGACGTGGAGGGGCCGGCATCGTCCCCGTGCCCACCCGCCGGCCTCTGACGGAGACACGTGCTCCCCAGCGGGCCCTGCTCCTGCTCCTTCGCTGACCTCACGTGGGCTTTAATTTGAGAAACTCGGATGGAGCCGGCGTATGGCTGCCCATGGGGGGTGACACGTGCCTGAGCGTCAGCCATCCTGGCGCAGACCCAGGTCCCCAAAGACCGGGGCGGAGTTCGCTGCCTCTTGTTCCCCTGCAAGTCCTGTTGCTCCCGGTGGGGGGCAGGGAGCAGCCACATGGGGCCCCGAGTCCACAGGGGGTCCCCAGTTCTCACGAGGCCCCCCAGTCCTCATGGGGCCACTCAGTCCTCACGGGGGCCCCCCAGTCCTCAATCACACGGGGGCTCCCAGTCCTCATGGGGCCACTCAGTCCTCACGGGGGCCCCCCAGTCCTCATGGGGCCACTCAGTCCTCACGGGGGCCCCCAGATCACAAGGGGCCCCCAGACCACAAAGGCACAGTGTGAGGAAAAGGGCTGAGGACGGAGCGGCCCCTGAGACGCGCTGTTGGCAGAGGCACAGGCCAGTCCCAGCCGGGGGAGCTGCAGGGCTCTGGTCCCCGGACAGCGACTCGTCCCGGGGGCTGCTCCCTGACCTGTCGTGGGAACGGGGTGCTGTCAGCTCGTGTCTGTGGGCAGACCATTCCCGCGGGGAGATGCAGGGAGGTGCGTGAGCACCCGCCGGGGAGAGGCCGAGGCCGGTGCCGACCGGAAGGCTGCCCGTGGACGGCTCGGCTGGTGAACGTGGCCACAGCGGCCGGCGCCTCCGTCCTGGTCCCCGTGCGGCTGTTAATGAACGAGCCTTCGCCCGGCCTGTGACTGTGGAAGGCCCGGGGCAGCGCCCGGAAAGCGGGCGGAACTCGACCCTCCGGCGTCCACTCCCCAGTGGCCCCATCCGGCCCCGCCGCCCGGAGTGATTGTGGTTTGACGTGGAGTCGGAGCCTGGACGTGGACGCTTCGTTCGAACACCATGCCTCTTCCCAGCCTTTGTTATTTATTTTTTGCTTTTTAACTAAAATACGCACAGGCCAGGTACTGGGTTTTGTTGTTTTTAATACATATTTTTTATTGATCTCAGAGAGGAAGGGAGAGAGGGAAACATCAGTGATGAGAGAGTCACTATTGCCTGCCTCCGGCAGGCCCCTGGGAATGGAGCCTGCATCCCGGGCCTGTGCCCTGACCCAGAATCGAGCCGTGACCTCCTGGTTCAGAGGTCGATGCTCAACCCCTGAGCCCCGCTGGCTGGGATGTGCTCTGGTTTGGAGCCTGGCCCTGGGAATCTGGCTCGGGGCCCGGGCAGCTGCCGGCTGTGTGCGCCCAGCAGGCTGTGGCTCCCTCCCTGCCCTCCCTGCAGGCCGGCAGCTGTGCTGGAGCCATCCCGGGAGCGAATCCCACGGGCTCGGAGCCAGCACCGGCCTGCAGCCCGGCCCTCCTCCGGTCGCCCCTGGCAGAGGCACCAGCAGGCAGGTTCTTGGTCCTGCCCGAGTGGGTTCCTCACTGGTTCCTGTCCCCCCTCCAGCTCTCCCCCCAACATCAGCCCCTGGTGCCCCCAGCCTGTCCCCCCAGCACCGCCCCTGCCCCCGTTTCCGTGCTAACTACCGGCCAGAGGAGGTGGAGTGGGCCGTGGCCTCCCCATGGCCTTGCCCTAAAACGGTGCTTTCTAGGGGGCCGTCCTGTGCTGCCGGGCCGCGGGGCAGCTGTGCTGCGTCCAGATGGGGTCTCCCGTCCGCCCGCGAGGCCCGGCGCTGGCCTCCGCGCGGGCTCCTCATGGCCGCGCCGCGGTGTTGGCCGAGTGCGCCGGGTTCCCGGGCTGCACCCACCTCCTCTGCACCGGTGTCAGCGCCGCAGGCGGAGCTTTGCCGGTTAGGGACCTGCCTTTGGGGCCATGGCCTCCCCCTCCCCCCACCCCGGCTCAGGCAGAGGGGCTGGGCTCCCGGGCTCTGCCCGAGCTGCAGGGGAAGGTTCCGCCGGGCTCTCGGTTACGCTCGGTCCACGGGAGCTCGCTGTCCCATTGGCGCTTTCCGGAGCTTTCTAGAATCAGACTCGACCCCCGGCCTCACCACGGCCGCTCCTTGGAGGGAAGCCTCAGAGCCGTGGTCGGCAAACTCATCCATCCACAGAGCCCAACAGCACAACGGCTGGCATTTCTTCTGAGAGCCGAGCGACTTTTTTTAAACGTAAACGTCTAACGCCACGTCTTCAACAGACTCGCCCAGGCCGTGGTGTTTTCTGGAAGAGCCACACTCACGGGACCCAAGAGCCGCATGTGGCTCTCGAGCCGCAGTGTGCCAACCGTGGCCTCAGATCTCTCGCTGGCTGCTGGCCGAGGGGGGCGGGAGGGGGTCGGCCGATGGGCAGGTGCAGAGCACAGCTGTGGCCCTCCTGTCCCCGCCCTCGGCCCTGAGCCCCTCGGCCCCTCCCTGCAGGGGGGGCGCTGAGGCTGGCGTGGGGACAAGCTGGGAGCATTCTGAAGTGCTTGTTAATTGCTGCGTGTAGGGCAGGTTCCTTCCCGTTAGTGTTGTTGCTGGAAGTGGTTATTGGGTTGTAAAGAGCGGTTCCATTGTTCGGCTGAGCCTGGCACTGTGTGGAGTGGAACCAGTGGCCCCCTGAGGCCTCATGGGGGGTAGGAGGGTGGGGCGGGAGGGGGGCCACAGTCTGCCAGGCACAAGAGTCATAGTTTTAAAAGTAAAAAAAAAAAGGATGGGAATTAAATTGTCCACTTGGTTCTATTAAAAAAAAATTTTTTCCCCCCAGAAAGTAAGGGAAAGGGGGGGAGAGAGAAAAATGGCCATGAGGAGAGAGGACCACCAATCGATCGGCTGCCTCCTGCACACCCCTCACTGGGGATCGAGCCCGCTACCCAGGCCTGTGCCCTGACCAGGACTCGAACCCTGACCTCCTGGCTCACAGGTGGACGCTCACCCCCGGAGCCGTGCCACCCCGACTGCACAGCTGGCTTTAACAGGAGGCCCGGAGCTGGCACTAACCTGTCCTCATGGGAAGGGCTGAGGGTGGACGTGAGGGAGGGCAGTAGGGAGGAGGCCTGTGTCCGTGTCTGCTCACGGTGTGTGCGTGTGCCACGCCTCCCCTCTGCTAAGCGGCCGAGGCGGGTGGGGGTGTTAGTGTCCCTTCGTCCACCTGGGATAATGGCTCAGAGCCTGAAGGGGAGCTTGTCACTGGGCCTCTCAGGGACAGAGCCGTGCGAGGCGGCCTCAGCGAGGAGGGGTCCCGAGGAGTGGGCTGCGTGGCTCCGTGTCCTCAGTGCTTGCTCGGTTAGTGTTATGTTTTTGTGAACCCGCACCTGCCGCCCGGTGTCCCTCAGGAGGGAGGGGAGAGAAAGAGAAACATCGATTGATCGATCTATTGGTGCCTCCTGAATGGGCCCCAGCCGAGCCTGGGGATCCAGCCTGCAACCCAAGTGCTTGGCTGGGAATTGAACCCACAATCCTCCAACGTGCAGGCGGACAGTATGACCGCGGCCAGCGCTTCCTCGCTGTCTCAGAACGCAATATCTACCACAGAGCAGCGCGGCGGCCGCCGCCTCTTACCGTCTGTCTCCTCTCCTCACAGGGATCTTCGCTTCAACAGAATCCGAGAGATCCAGCCCGGGGCCTTCCAGAAGCTGCGGAACCTCAACACCTTGTGAGTCTGCCCCCGAGGCCCAGGGAGACAGCACACCTGGTCTCCCACACCCAGGTCCTCGCACACCCGGGTCCTCCCACACCCGGGTCCTCGCACACCTGTGATCCTCACATACTGATCCTCACACACCCGGTCCTCGCACACCTGTGATCCTCGCACACCTGTGATCCTCACACACCCGGTCCTCGCACACCAGTGATCCTTGCACGCCCGGGTCCTCACACACCCGGGTTCTTACACACCCGGGTTCTCACACACCGTGGTCCTCGCACACCCGGGTCCTCTCACACCTGTGATCCTCACACACTGTGATCCTCACACACCCGGGTCCTCACACACCTGTGATCCTCAGACACCTGTGATCCTCACACACCCGGGTCCTTGCACACCTGTGATCCTCGCACACCTGTGATCCTCACACACCTGTGATCCTCACACACCTGTGATCCTCGCACACCTTCAGTCCTGACACACCTGTGATCCTCTTACACCTGTGATTCTCACACACCCGGGTCCTCACACACCTGTGATCCTCACTCACCAGTGATCCTTGCACACCCGGGTCCTCACACACCTGGGTCCTCACACACCTGTGATCCTCACATACCTGTGATCCTCACTCACCAGTGATCCTTGCACACCCGGGTCCTCACACACCTGGGTCCTCACACACCAGTGATCCTCACACACCCGGGTCCTCACACACACTGTGATCCTCACACACCTGCCTTGGTCGCGTGGTGAGGCCCCGTGTTCCTGTGGCAGCCGCCGTCCTGGCGGGGGGACGGTCTCCGGTGCCCGGGGACGAGCGTGTGGAATCTGACAGCACCTCCCTCCTCAGGCTCCTCAACAACAACCAGATCCGGAGCATCCCGGGCGGGGCCTTTGCGGACCTGGAGAACCTCAAGTACCTGTAAGTCCGTGTGGGGGCCGTCTGGCCGAGCGCCTCGCGTCCCGTGTGCATTCTGTGCAGCCGCCACTTACAGAGCTCTTGTGTCCGAGGAGACGGAAATGGCCGGGGGGGCTGCCTTGTCCTGAGCGTGGAGGGCTGTTGGCTCTGTGTCTGGCTGCTCGGCCTCAGTGCAGTGGGGTGAGTGGAGTTAAGATCGGGGCCTCGGAAATCACTCAGACAGAGTTGGGCCTCCACGGGGATGGGAGGGCCGGCCTCTCGGTGTAAGACAGGAGCGTCCAGAGCAGGCAGCTTCCCTGGAGGACTGGCTTCCCCGCGAGGAGGCCCGTGAGCCCTTCGGAATCGGAATGTCACTCCGTTCCCCGCTCCTGCCTCTGGGCGCCTTGCCCTCTCGCTGTGCAGTCAGATTCGGAAACAGATGGCAGTTAACTTACGAGGAGGGACCATCGGCCTGCCCGAGGGGCTTTGCAGTTTGGGCTATGACGGGGGAAGCACTGTCTTCCTGCCTCGGGGGCTGTGAGATTATAGAAAGAAAAACCACTCCGGGAGCATACCTGGGCTGGCAGGTCAGAAGGCTGTGTCACATGCTCTGGGCAGAAACAGTCTTAGAACTCAGCTACCTTTTTGAATAGAGCTATTTTCACGAGGAATATATATCTTTTTTTGGGGGGAGAAGGGGGTATGTTATTCGTGAATCTGAGCACCTTTAAGTGATGTCCATGTTTAACGTCACGTGGTTGGTGTTGATGTACATGTTAGAATCAGTGTGTTGTGTGTTTTTTTAAAGGTTATCTTTAAAAAAATTTTTTTTTTATTGATGTCAGAGAAGAAGAGAGAGGGGGAGAGAGAGAGAAATGTCAATGATGAGAGAATCACAGATCAGCTGCCTCCTGCACGCCCCACACTGGGATCGAGCCCGCACCCCGGGCCTGTGCCCTGACCGGGAATTGAACCGTGACCTCCTGGTTCCTAGGTCGACGCTCAGCCCCGGAGCCACACCGCCTGGCTGGAATACTTCTGACTTTAGGTGTCAGTGGTTCTTGATTGCAGAGCTCGTTGGAACTCTGTTCGTTAAAGTACATTTTCCTCAGTGAAGACACTTGGAAGCGGACGTGCAGTTGGCGGAGCGTGTGGGTGCTTTTTCTTCTCTGTGACATCACTGAGCCTGAGGGCTCCTTTTCACAGCGAGGGTCAGGCCTCGCTTACTTCTGTTGTTTGTATTGTGTGTGAGCAGCAATGTGCCTTCACTTTGCATTTGATTTGAACCACTTGGGAGCAATGTGTGACTTTGCAAATGTATTTGATGTGAAGGCGTGGGGGTCCTCGCTTCTCACTTCCACTCTTTCAAGTGCTTCCTCTAAACCTAGTCCCTGACCATCCTCTCAGGCTCCTGCCCCAGCCTCCCGCTCTGTCTTTCCCCGAGCGCACCCGTGAGGCCACTGTCCCCAGGCGCCGAGCATGGGGATGGGGGCGGGGCCCTGGTCAGGGGGGAAGGGGAGACCAGGAGCAGGAGAGCCGTGAGCCATGGCGGAAAGGGTCCCACTGGCTCCGCTGTCCACTGCTTCCAGCCCAGCCTCCTTCCCGGGTCCCCAAGCCCACGGAGCGCGTCTGGTGTGCACGGGCACCGAGGGAGGGCGTGGACTGGCCTCCGTGTCCGAGACGTTGCTGCAGCGTATCGCTGCTGCTGCTGCCGTGGCCAGTGAGTGCCCAGGTGTGTGTCCGCAGGCAAGGGTCCCGCTCTGCTGGGACCCAGCGACTTCTGGGAAGCAGGACCTTCGCGCCTTCGATCTCCCTGACGGGCGTTCATGCCCAGACGCACTGGCCGTTGGTTCTGGAAGGGGGTCCTGTGAAAACCAGCGACGGCCCGGTGCCTTCACTGACACACGTGTGCACGTGTTCGTCTGGTCCACGTGTTTTCTGTATGTCCATCCGTCCATATGTCTGTTGTTCATCCTCACGGGAGGGTACATTTCATTCATTTTTAGAGAGTGAAAGGGATGGAGGGAGGGAATGAGAGGAAGAGAAACATCGATGTGAGAGAGACACATTGATTGGTTCCTCCCACATGTGCCTCGATCCGGGCCAGGTATCGAACCGCAACCAGGTTCCCCATGACCCTTCAGTGTGTGGGCCAGTGCTCTAACCACTGAGCAGGCCCAGCCCAGGTGTCTCGGTGCTCCTTCCCAGGATTCCTTACACTCACTTTCTTTAAAAAATACATATATTTTTATTGATTTCAGAGAGGGAGAGAAACATCCGTGATGAGAGAGAACCATTGATTGGCTGCCTCCTGCACGCCCCACTCTGAGGATCAAGCCTGCACCCTGGCCTGTGCCCGGACCGTGACCTCCGGTTCCTAGGTCAACGCTCACCCCCTGAGCCACGCCGGCTGCGCCATCTCGGGCTTTTTTAAGAGTCTCATGCTCTACCGACTGAGCTAGCCGGGCACTTCCAATCTCGGGCTTTTTTAAAGTGCCCGCAGAATGGTGGCCGCGGTGTCCCTTTTGTTCTGAAGGAATGGCCGGAAGTTCCCTCCTCCCAGGCGGAAGTTCCCTCCTCCCGGGCGGGAGTTTCCTCCTCCCGGCCGGAAGTTCCCTCCTCCCAGCCGGAAGTTCCCTCTTCCCGGTGTAGCTCGCATGGCCTGAAGCGCCCGCGGGCCTTGCCCGCTTCGCGCCTGGTTGTGGTCGCAGTGACCCTGTCAGCCTGGGTGCTCTCTCTGCTCCACCGGCAGGGAACCGAGGCAGGAGGGCCACACGGCTCGTCGGGGGCAGCCAGCGGCCCCGGCCCCCTCCTGCGGGCCCGGCCGCTGCGGCCGGCGTCTGGCGGAGTGTGTGAGGTTTGGGGTTCAGCGAGGCCGCCCGGCAAGTCCGCAGTGAGGGAGCGAGCGATATCGTTAGCGGCAGCGGCGCAGGGTCTGGTTAACGGACTTGGCCCCTCGTCGCTCACTGGAAGGCGGTGACACACGTGGTTCTGGACACGTGGTTCTAGACGCGTAGTGCATCATGGGGGGAAGTGTCGCTTGTTGGGCGGAGCGGGTGGGTGAGAACCGGTCACGGACCCACGGGAAGGTCAGCTGCAGGCGAGGACGTGCGGTCCATGCCCTGCCCGCCTGGCGCCGGGGGAGCGCCCGGGACAGGAGTCTGAGCCCAGGACTCCCCTAGTTCCCATGATGCTCTGGGGCTCCCCGAGGCCCAGCCACGGAGCCGGAGGGCTATGCTGGGAGCCAGTCCTGGAGGAGACAGGTGGACAGACCCCACTCGGTTTGCCCTTCTGACCCGAAGGCTTTTTAAAAAATATACTTTTTCATTGATGTCAGACAGGAAGGGAGAGGGAGAGAAACATCCATGACGAGAGAGAAACATGGATCGGCTGCCTCCTGCACGCCCTGTGCTGGGGATGGAGCCCACAACCCAGGTGAATGTTGATCTAGGAACCAGGAAGTCACAGTTCAACTCCGGGTCACGGTCAGGGCACAGGCCCAGGTTACAGGCTTGATCCCCAGAGTGGGGCGTGCAGGGGGCAGCCAATCAGTGATTCTTTCTCATCACCGATGTTTCTCTCTCTCCCTCTTCCTCTCTGAAATCAACACAAATATACCTATTTTAAAGAAAGTGACTTGGAATCGAACCATGACTTTCTGGTTCCTAGGTTGACACCCAACCCCTGAGCCCCGCCCACCTGGCGCACCTGTCACTTTTCTGAAGAGGCAGGTGTGCGGGGCTGCTCCCCGATTCACTGATCTCCCTGGAACCGGGTGGGGACGGGAGGAGCCCACGCCCCGCGTGGCGTCCTCGTGCCCGCCCCCGAGTCTGCAGTCCCGGCGGGCCCAGCCGCTAACGCTCCTTTCTTGTTTCAGCTATCTGTACAAGAATGAGATCCAGGCGATTGACAGGCAAGCCTTTCAGGGACTTTCCTCCCTAGAACAACTGTAAGTGGCCCGTCCTGCCCGTGCTTCTCAGGGGCCCCTGCCCGTGTCCGCGGTGTGCATGACGCATGCTGTGCGTGTGGGCGCGGGGCACGTGCATGCCAGGCCCCCGCGCTGGCCTCCCATGGCCACATGACTGTTCGTCCATCTGGCCGGCCGGCCCCGAACCCCCGGTACCCCCAATGAGAGTGAGAGACAGATGTGCAGAGACAGGGTCCAAGCGCGGAGAGGAGAGGTCCTTCGGGGACAGGGCGGGGCCGTGCGGACGGGGAGTGGCTGTCCTTGTCCCGCTTCCTGTTTGTGCGTCCGGGATGATGTCATTGCCGTGGGGAGAACAGCTCTGCACGTGTTTCCCGTCCGTGCACGCGGAGGGTTGGCTCCCGGGAATTCCTCCTTGGCTGCGCAGTCAGCAGCTGGTTTTGAGGAGGATTCCTGGGAAAAGGAGTTTTTCCGTTCGGCTTGGCTGGGCCCGTTTGGTCGCTGAGCTGAGCTGACGCTGTGCGGGAGCTCTGTGTTGTCCACTTCCTGGGGACAGGAGGCCGCTGTCAGCCGCAGCAGCCTCACGCCCTGCGTGGCCCGGGCTGCATGTGCGGCTGGCAGGTCGGAGCCCTCTGGGCGGAGCTGGGCTGGGCTCCCCGGAACCACACGCGGGTGCATGTGGCCCAAGAAGCACTTGCCCAGTGGAGCCGGAGCTGCTGTGGGAGGTTCTGGTTGGATCCGGGCTCCTGCAGGCTCTGCCCTGTGACAGAGGCCAGAGGAGGGGCGTGACCTGGCTCTGGGTGCTGAGGCCTGAGGTCGGCAGGTCCCCCGAGGCCCGCCTTGCCCTCCGGACAGACTCAGTCACTGGTCCGAGGTGTCCTGGGGGGCTGGCCAGGCCCGGGAGACCCCGCGCCTGCAGGACGGGGTGCGGGCAGGGAGGTGGTGACCCCAGAGTCAGTGCTCCAGGAAGGAATCTCTGAGGATGAGGGTGAGTTTTGAGAAACTTTCCTCTGTCTGTGCTCATGACACGGGCTCAGGACCGCGGGCGCTGTGCTGACACGGCTGCCTGTCCCAGAGTCCTGGAGGGGCCTGGCGTGTAAGCGTGTGCTCGGTGGGGAGGGTGCCTGGGCGTGGGGCAGGGGGGCCTCCAGCAGAAGCACCCAGAAGTGTTTGACTTCAGGGGGAAAAAACACCACTTTTCAGAGGGAGGAAAGCAGTATTCAGGAAAATCAGGAGTGAAGACATCTCACGTGCAGAGAATACGACTCGCTCCCTGTAATTAGTCAGGAGGCATTCGAGGAAGCACATCCTCTCACGGGATTCGGGCCATTTTCCTCTCGAGATTCCCCAATAGCTTCTGTAACTGACGGTGTCGCGTTAACATGGCTCCCTCCCCCGAACCACGTGTAAATGGCAGGTCTGAGTGACGGTTTCGCACATGTGTGTCTGTACGCCGGCCAGAGAGGTCCTGGTGTTGTGAGAGAGTGTTACCCCTTCCGTTCCCCTGTGTGACGGGAACGTGGCGGGGTGTCTGACCAGCGTCCCTGTCCTTTCTCATGCAAAGTCAGCCAGGTTTGCAGGTGTATTGAGCCTTTCTAGTTCTAGAATCATCTACTGACGTAGGAATTGGAAATGACTTTAGAAAACATAAGAATTTGAAATGACTTTAAAAAACAAATTTCAGCTGAGAATTCGGTAATTAAAATTGTCTTTCTTTTTTTACTTCTCCAGATACCTGCACTTCAACCAGATAGAGACCCTGGACCCCGAGTCCTTCCAGCATCTGCCCAAGCTGGAACGGCTGTGAGTGCCTGCGGGCCTGACTGACCCCTCTGGGCCAGGGGGCGGGGCCAATCAGGGAGGGGCGGGGCTTGATGGTGCGGGGCAGGGGAGGGCTAGGGTGTGGGCGTGGCCATTGGCTCAGCCTTCTCCTGGGATGGAGTTGAGGCCATCTTCTGTTAAAACACCTGAAGAGGCTCTGGTAGAATATCCGAACCGCAGCTCCGAAGCAGGGCTAACAGTTTTCTCCTTTCGTGGGGATGGCGATCAATCAGTTGACTTCTCTTCTAGACTCGTTCTTCCTCTCGTTGGTGTTGAACAGACGCAGTCATTGTGGTTTAAAAAGTAGATCTGTTCAGCCGCTTGTGATCTTCCCTGTACAGCTAAGACGTCTTTTTAAAAGCAGGTTCTTGTCTCTTTCCACAGGTTCTTGCACAACAACCGGATCGCACACCTGGTCCCGGGCACATTTAACCACTTGGCCTCCATGAAAAGATTGTAAGTCGTGCTGTCTTTCCCGCCCCCCCCCTCCCTCGCCCGGGCTCCATCCGGGGTGTGGCGAGGTGGGTGTCTCCCTCTGGGTGCAGCTCAGGAGGCGGGACCCACTCAGGGGATGGATCCACCCGTTAGCAGGCCCCGGGCGTGTGGCCGTCAGCTGTTTCTCTGTAGGTGGATACGGCATTTCAAAAGCCATTTCCACGTCTCCACCTTGACTTTAATTCATGCTGCCTATGTCCCCCGTGGAAATACAGTCCACGGAGGAGCCCCGCTCTGTGGTCCATGCCAGCCTTTAGGGGTACATGTCCCTAAACACACGGAGTGGACCTGTTTGTCCAAAGTAATATTTCTCACACTGAGTCATTTAAAAAATATATATTTTATTGATTTTTTACAGAGAGGAAGGGAGAGAGAAAGTTAGAAACATCGATTATGAGAGAGAAATATTGATCAGCTGCCTCCTGCACGCCCCCTACTGGGGATGTGCCCGCAACCAATGTGCATGCCCTTGACCGGAATCGAAACCGGGACCCTTCAGTTCGCAGGCTGACACTCTGTCCACTGAGCCAAACCGGTTTCAGCCTGAGTCATTCTTATAACGGACTGAGGGAGCAGCTGCCCTGATGGGAAAAGCTTGATTTTCCTTTCGGTTTGAGCCGTGGTTCCAATCATTAGCTCTTCAGTACAGCAGACCGCACTGAGGAAACGAAACAGACTCTCGTCATCATTTATTGCTCATCCTTGAGGATAAAGCCGTCACCGGCCAAAGTAAAGCTCACGTTCTGGGGGGAGACAGGATGCGTGCTGCGGGGAAGGATACACAGGAGAGAGGTAGAGACGCGGCCATGGGGTCCAGGGCAGCCCAGCAACGCCGCCCGGCCACGGGGTGAGGCATAGGTCTGTGCCCAGCCTGTTTCAGGCCGAGCCAGTCCTTCAACCTCCATCCTCTCCTCTCTGCCCTATTTGTCCCCGGCTTTGCTCCGTCGATGAGCGCCTAGGTTTTGGGGCCGCCTCTCCGCCGTGCCTGTCCCATACACACACAGAGGACCTGCTATTCTGAGGGGCCGCCGGGTCCGAGGGAGCCAGGCACGTGCTCTGGTCCCCGCAGCCGCCCCACCTAAGGGCCCAAGCTCGAGGTCTCTGCCTGCTGGGCAGCACCTCACCCCTCCCTACCTGCAGATCCTTGGTGTCTCCTCCTGGGGAGCCGTACACCCCACCATGGGGTCATCAGAGACACGACCGTCCAGGCAGAGGACCAGTTCTGCCCCCAGTTCCCAGTGGGGCCTGTGTCCAGGGGAAGAAGGGTGACGGTGGGGGGTGGGGTGACATCACAGGCCGCCTAGGCCTGTCGTGTGGACCCAGATGGTGAGGTCACCTCACGCTCCCACACCTTAGCTCTGGGCACAGAGAGCCTCCTCGGTGAGCCACACAGCCCCTGCCTGAGCGGGTCTGTTCCCCACACCTGTTAGGTAACCAGCCACCCTGTCATGTGGCGCCCCTGTCCCCGCAGCAGCAGCATCTCCCTGTGGGCTGTGTCCCCCATGCAGCGGACGCTCCCCTCCCCGAGGAGGAGGAGAGGAGGGGGAGGGAGCCCTCCCGTGCCGAGCAGCACTTTCAGGAACATTCATCCCTAAGATTTGTGCTTTCTGAGCTGGATCCAGACATAACCCCCAGCTAAAGCTGGTCTGGCTCAGTGGATAGAACGTTGGCCTGTAGACTGGAGTGTGTCCTGGGTTCGATTCCTGTCAGGGGCACATTCCCCCGGTTGCAGGCTCCAGCCCTGGTTGGGGTGCATATAGGAGGCAGCCAATCGGTGTGTCTCTCCCACATAGATGTTTTTTCTCTCTGTCTTACTCTCTCCCTTCCACATACACACAAAAAATCAACGGGAAAACATCAGGTGAGGATTAACAAAAAGAATAATGAAGACAACAACCCTTTGCAAAGTGTCACTTGGCTGCAGAATATGTGTGATTTAAAAACCGAACCCCGACCTTGGGACGGTTGAGGGTGCAGTGAGTCGACGTGAGTACAGGGCCTGGGACGAGGGTGCAGGCCCGGGGATCAGGGTGTCACTGCTCCTTCCTGCAGGCGGCTGGACTCGAACGCGCTGCACTGCGACTGCGAGATTCTGTGGCTGGCGGACCTGCTGAAGGCCTACGCCCGGTCGGGAAACGCGCAGGCCGCGGCCACCTGCGAGTACCCCCGACGCATCCAGGGCCGGTCGGTGGCCACCATCACCCCGGAGGAGCTGGACTGTGGTGAGTGAGCGTGTGGCCGTGGCCGAGCGTGTGGGTGTGGGCGTGCAGGGCCCTGGTGGCCACTGGCCCCGTGGGTCCCCAGAGTCCAGTCTAAGGAGGAACCTCTGTGCAAAGCCCTTTCTGTAGTGTCTGTAAGAAGGTATTTCTTTTTTATAAAACTTGCATAAAAATATTTTTATTGATTTGAAAGAGGAAGAGAGAGAGAAACATCAATCAGCTGCCTCCTGCAGGCCCCCTATTAAGGACCTAGTCAGCAACCTGGGCACGTGCCCTGACCGGGAATCGAACCTGTGACCTCCTGGGTATAGATCAACGATCAGCTGCTGAGCCACGCTGTGGGCCTTTTGGGTTTTACTTGGCAGTCTCTGCAAAGAGCCGCAGAACGAAGCGCACTTCTTGTTGCTCCCTTGCAGGCTGGGTGTAGGGGCCGAGAGGAGTGCGGGGTGCGGACGGGCGGGGCCGGTGGGGGCAGGGCCCGCAGGGCGCATGGGGGGGTAGCTGAGTGCTCTGCACCGGTGCGCCCTGAGGTGACCTCGCTGGGTGTGAGCCGGTTCCCCCACCTGGGCGCCCCCGGAGCCGGGGGAGAGCAGAGCCGCCTCAGACCACAGGACAGTCTCCTCGGGAAGCGGAGGGGCCCAGCCTGGCCTTTAGCTTCAGCCTTTTTGGTGCTAAAAGGAGTTTCTGGCTCCTGGAAGCAGCGGGGCTTCCCCGTGGGAAAGGCGAGCAGCGCAGAGCCCGGGCTGCGCATGTGCCTCCCGGCTCCGCAGCCTGGGCTCCGGGCTGTGGGCGGACAGGGCTTCCCCTCTCCGTTCCCGAAAATGGGCGGGCTCCGCTCCGGGAGGAGGCCGGCGCCCCACGGCCCCGGGGCTGGTGAGCGTGGGCGTCGGGGCGCAGGGACACCCCCCGGAGGACGCCCCGCACGCAGGTGGGACCGTCGGGCTGAGGTGCCGCTGGGCCCAGACGGGCTCCCGTGATGGGCCTGGGGGGCTGTTCCGTGGCGGGTGGACCCCGAACCCCAAAACCCGGCTCCTTGTCGCGCAGAAAGGCCCCGGATCACGTCGGAGCCCCAGGACGCCGACGTCACGTTGGGGAACACGGTGTTCTTCACCTGCCGAGCCGAAGGCAACCCCAAGCCCGAGATCATCTGGCTGCGGAACAAGTGAGGGTGCAAGGCGGGCTGCGGGGCCACCCCCACCCTGCGGGCCACCCCCACCCTACAGGTCACCCCCACCCTGTGGGCCATCCCCCGCCCCCACCCTGCAGATCACCCCCACCCTGCCGGCCGCCCCACCCTGCGGGTCACCCCCAACCTGAAGGTCACCCCAATCCTTCAGGTCACCCCCACTCTGCAGGTCACCCCCATCCCTTCCTCTCAGAAATCAATGGAAGTGTTAAATTAGTAAATGAATAAAAGGTGGAGGAAAGCAGATTGGCTTAAACCCTTCACACCTCTCTATAAATGAACAAGTGGACCCTAAAAGTTAAAATGGCTGAGCCAGTCATGGCGTGTGGAGCCTGGCCCCTGCCCGACATCTGGTCGCCTGTGCCCCACCCGCCTCCCCCGCCGGGTCAGGTGCTCATGGCAGGGGGCGGCCACATCAGTCAAGGTCCTGCTTGTGGGGCCGGGGTGACCACTCCCACCCAGACACAAGATGGAGACGGATTTCTGTCTGGGGGCTTGTTGCAGGGGGAGGAGGGGAGGGGGAGGGGGGTCAGGGCTGGCGTCTGTAGACTGGGCCCAGGGCCCTCGTACCCAGCCAGGGATCTGCCCCCGCAGGGCTTTGTCCTGTCAGCCCATCATGGCCGGCTTCAGGAAGGTGGACATTCCGCCCGTTGTCTGGACACAAAGGGAAGATGGTGTGTGTGTGTGTGTGTGTGTGTCCCGTGTTCTTTTCCTCTCTTAGGATCCACTCACTGTGAAAGGTTTGCCTTCATGGCGAGCACGTGTGAGTGACAGACAGGCAGCTGGGCTCGTCAGCGAGGCAGAGGCAGGGTCTCCACCAGGACATGCTGGGGCCCCGGGATGCAGCGTCCACGCGGGATCAGCCGCGGTTGGGGTGGGGCCTGAGCTTACGGACGGGCATGTACTTGCAGCAACGAGCTGAGCATGAAGGCGGACTCCCGCCTGAACCTGCTGGACGATGGCACGCTGATGATCCAGAACACGCGGGAGACGGACCAGGGCGTGTACCAGTGCATGGCCAAGAACGCGGCGGGTGAGGCCAAGACGCAGGAGGTGACCCTCAGGTACTTTGGGTCTCCAGGTACGTGACGGCCTTGCCCGTGGGGGTTCCTCCCAGGGTGGTGTCCCTCCCTCCCTCCTGCACCCGGCTGCAGCTGCCGAGGGAACCAGCCTCCTGTCTCTGGCCAAAGCCCCTGCCATGGGCTCGGTCCCAGGGGAGTCATGACCTTGGCCCTGGCCCACATCGTCCCTCATCCCGGACGGACACAGTGGAAGCTGAGCAGGCAGTGCTGCAGGCGGTGTCTGGGGGCGCCAGAGAGAAGTCACCCCACCTCTGATCCTCCCATCGTCCTGGTCCCGAGGGGGATGGGCCCTGTGTTCCCGTTGGGCAGGGAGGTCTCTATAGTGTTGGGTTTGGTTATTGAAAAAGGAGCCAAAATCTGGATTTTCATGTAAAATTCCCAGGTTGAAAGTGTTGGCATCTATTTAAAAAGATAGCCTTCTAGCGAGGCACAGCTCTGGCCTCAGTCGGACTGAGTGCCCTGCCCTCGTCCCCATGTTTAACCGGAGAACTCGTCATGTTTAATCCGAGACCTTGATGAGAGGGGCCTGGCCTGGGAGGACGGTCCAGCCCCCTCCTGCTGAGGGCACAGCCGCTGGGTGCCCTGTGGTCTGCTCAGGCCCCCACCCGCCAGGACGGCTGTGTCCCTCACTGCCTCCGGGCGCCAGGCGCCACCTGAGCTTCCCCTTCAGCCATCCCGGGTTCCCTGGTGCTTGGTGTTTCCGGCCATGGCAGGCGGTGCCAGTGATTGTTGAGGGTTTCTTTGTTTGGAGTCTCGGGCCTTTGAATGGGTCTGGTGTTCGCCACATCCCAGCACGTGGTCCCCTTTCTGTGAATGAGAGTTCCTGGTGTCGGATTTCAGCTCAGAGGGATGCCCCGCCTGGATCAAAGCCCTGTCACACCACTCCCACAAGTCATAGTCACGGGGCGCCCAGCGGGCACCTGCTATGGGAACCACTGGGGCTCCGGGCCCGGGGGAGCGGGGGCGCGAGCGTGAGCAATAGGGGAACCCACTGAACCACGGGGGGCAGCGCTGTAGCAACGTGTCTCAGCAACGGAGAGGAACAGCGTCAGTGAGGGACTCGTTTATGCAGACCAGAGTGTTTACCATCTCCCCCAGCGGTCAGCAAACTCATCAGTCCACAGAGCCAAATATCAACAGGACAACGATTCACATTTCTCTTGAGAGCCACAATTTTTAAACTTAAACTTCTAACACCACTTCTTCAAAGTAGACTCGCCCAAGCCGTGGTATTTTGTGGAAGAACCACACTCCAGGGGCCAAAGAGCCGCATGTGGCTCGAGAGCCGAGGTTTGCCGACCATGGCTCTAGGAGATTGTTTCTTCCCCGGGAGCCATAGCCTTATTTGGGGGACACTTGGAGCCTGTCAGTCAGGCTCCCTAAGGCTCTCCTGAAGGGGCCTGTGACCTGGGACGAGGCCCAGCAGTCAATCGGCCTGAGGCAGCCCGACCACCTGGACTGCAAGCTGTCCTACAGGCTGGATGGGGCCAACTGCCTATTTTCCTTACAATCCTAGAACTGAGAATGGTTTTACCTTCTTCTAGGGTTGGAAAACCTAAGCGTTTAGGACCGTGGTATTTTAGGATCAGCAGTAATTGTGGGAGACTCGTTTCAGTGACTGTCGATTGCATCTTACCATAACGTAACCACACTCATTCCTCCGTGAGTTGGTGGTGGCCGCGCTCCGCGGCGGGGCCGAGCTGAGCAGGAGCAAAGCCCCAACGCCTGCTCCTGGTCCTTTGCAGACACGTTCCCAGGCTGTGCTGACGTTTGTTTTGATTGATCTCAGAGAGGAAGGGAGAGACATCAATGATGAGAGAGAACCGTCCATTGGCTGCCTCCTGCATGCCCCCTGCTGGTGATGGAGCCTGAAACCTGGGCATGTGCTCAACCACTGAGCCACACCGTCGGGCTCTCTGGGGCCATTTATAGCCGTAATTACAGCCTGGCTCCTGAGCCTCCGCGAGTGACAGAGGGCTGCAGCACCATCTACTTTACCGGGTCCCTTTCGGGAACTATGGGGTTTGTCCCCAAATCTTTTGCTATCACAGGCCCCTCTCCCTTTATCCAGAACCACTGGGCCTGCCAGGTGCTGGTTAAATTCAGACATTTGGGAATTTTTTCAGAAGGCCCCCTCGGCTCGTCAATGAACACGTCAGCGTCCAGTGTGAACATTCATAGCGGAAAAATGAGGGCTCTGAGTGGCCTAGACCTTTGTAAACAAGTGGTGAAGTAATGTTGGATTCCGGGATCCTGGATGAGGGTGTTGGTCGGAAGAAATAACACAGCAATTAAATGAGACCTTTTACTTACCTATCGTTTTTTAAAAATATTTTTTTATTGATTTCAGAAAGAAAGGGAGAGGGAGAGAAACATTAATGATGAGAGAGAATTGTCCATTGGCTGCCTCCTGCACACCCCCTACTGGGGATCAACCCGGCATGTGCCCTGACTGGGAATTGAACCCGGGACCCTGCAGTCCACAGGCTGACGCTCTAGCCACTGAGTCAGATCAGCTAGGGCTTCTCAATGCAGTTTTGTGAAACTTACTATTTTTTATGTTCTAACATAAAAAACAGTGTTTTATACCAATAAGAACTACGGAGAGGCTTAACCAGTGACATAACAGATTCAGGAGAAGCCAAAATAAGGGCCCTCCTCGTCCCATTGGAGAAATCGCTGTCCCTCACAGGGCCCACTCCTCGTGTGAACCAGGCAGTAGGCCGTCTTTATTCTCTGTGTATTTTTTTTTCTTTTTTTAATATATTTTATTGATTTTTTACAGAGAGGAAGAGAGAGGGATAGAGAGTTAGAAACATAGATGAGAGAGAATCATCTATTGGCTGCCTCTTGCATGCCCCCTACTGGGGATGTGCCAGCAACCAAGGTACATGCCCTTGACCGGAATCAAACCTGGGACCTTTCAGTCCGCAGATCGACGCTCTACCACTGAGCCAAACCGGCTTCGGCTTTCTGTGTATTTCTTTAACAAACAATAGCGAAGACGGGAAAGTGAGGTTAAATCGTGTCTGTGTGACAGTAGCTTAGCGGTCGTAGACAGAAGGAGTTGCGGGAACAGAAAACGAGCGAACGCCGATGCCGACCTCGAGGGATTAACTCCTTGTGTTTCGTCGTGACAGCTCGACCCACTTTTGTAATCCAGCCGCAGAACACGGAGGTGCTGGTCGGCGAGAGCGTCACGCTGGAGTGCAGCGCCACAGGCCACCCGCTGCCCACGATCGCCTGGACCCGCGGGGACCGCTCGCCCCTGCCCACGGACCCCCGCGTGAGCATCACGCCCTCGGGGGGCCTCTACATCCAGAACGTGGCGCAGGAGGACAGCGGCGAGTACACCTGCTTCGCCTCCAACAGCCTGGACAGCATCCACGCCACGGCCTTCATCATCGTCCAGGGTGAGCGCGGGGCCCCTCCGCCCGCAGCCCCGCCCCTGGGCCCTGGGGTGCCCTCCGCCTGACGCCCGGCAGGAGAGGCCCCGCCCGGAGCCACCTACGCGTTCGCCTTGGCAGAAGCTTTAGAGGGCGGGCTGTTTGGGGCTGTGATCCATGGCACCCGGAGCTCTGGCCCTGTGCGCTGTGGGTGACCACGTGGGGGTGTGCACGCGTGTTTATGTGTGTGCACAGGCGTATTAATCAGGAAGCCCTCACACATTTTGGAATTTCCCAGGGTTGATTCTTGGACACAGGAGGCCTGGAGTTTTAAGACATGTGCTTCCCAACTTCTTGACTCAATACTGACTTTATTAGTGTTTGTTGTTAATCCTCATCCAAGGCTATTTTTCCCATTGATTTTAGAGAGGGAGGAAGAGAAGGGGAAGGGGGAGAGAGAGAGATCTATGTGAGAGAGGCGCATCGATTGGTTGCCTGCCACGCACCCCCACGGGGCCAGGGAGCCTGCCACCGAGGTACCTGCCTTGACTGGGGAGCGAACCTGTCACCCTGGGTGCACACCCGACGCGCTGACCACTGAGCTCTGGCCAGGGCTGAGTGTTCGTTTTTACATCAATCACAAAGGGGGAGGGGGGTGCTGGAGTCTCCGGAGAGAACAGAAATGGAACCACGAGAGAAGCGAGTCTCTCCCAGCTCCTCCACGGGAACCACGGGGAGGTTGTTAATCTTCCAGCACCTTCTCCGCGCAAGGCACAGTGGTCACTTGGTGTCGATGTCCTTCGTTATGGCCGATGCTTTTATAGAAATGGGCTCACACTGGATCCTGTTGTTACGTTTTTTTCAATAAAAAAAAAAAAAACAGACCAAGTCCCGCCCTGGGCTTCCTGCTCTTCACCCCAAGCGTCTGCCTCACCTGCTCAGGCTGCCGGCTGGCCGGGCTGGCGGCTGGCTGCAGGCTACCTGTCACTCAGGGCTGGCCCCGCCCACGGAGGCCCCCCAGCCTGCCGCCTCCTTAGGGAAGCTGTTTCTCACGCGTGTCCCATGTCTCCCCTCCGGCAGCCCTCCCGCAGTTCACCGTGACCCCGAAGGACAGAACTGTGATCGAGGGCCAGACCGTTGACTTCCAGTGCGAGGCCAAGGGGTACCCACAGCCGGTCATCGCCTGGACGAAAGGAGGTAGGGCCCACGCCAGGTCTCCACTGTCACCGGCTCCCGCCCTCAGAGCACTGGCTCCGAAGCCAGCGATGTCTTTCTCTGACCCCCAAGTCCCAGTCTCCTGAGCAAGACACACACACACACACACACACCCGTGTCCCCCTGACTGACTGGCCCCTCACCCTCGCAGGGAGCCAGCTGTCGGTGGACAGGCGGCACCTGGTGCTGTCCTCAGGGACGCTCCGCATCTCGGCCGTCGCCCTACACGACCAGGGCCAGTACGAGTGCCAGGCCGTCAACATCATCGGCTCCCAGAGGGTCGTGGCCCAGCTGACAGTGCAGCCCCGAGGTAGGTGCGGGATGCAGCCCCTGGTGGGCGTGGTGGGGGCGGGGACCCTGCCCGTGGACGTGGCTCCTGCACCGGCATTCACATCACTCATGACCCACAGCCACCTCTACCTGTTTTGAATAACTGACCTTGACCTTGGGCTCCCGAGGGGCCTGTCCCGTGCGGCTCATCATGTAGCCTGTGGTAACGGGTGTACCCAGTGGTGCTGGCACGGACTCCGATGGGCCGGCCTGTCAGTGCACGGACCATCCTTTTCCTGGCCAGTGGTATCCCCCTGAAGAAGCAGCTTTTTCTGGTTACTGCAGCAGCGCTGGGTCTGGGGGCCCCACCCTGTCCTGGAGTCACGGTTCTGTTTCCTGTGTGCACCCCCATAGCATGCTAGGGCCCCCCATGTTCTCTGCACTCAGAAGGACCTGGTTGCCTGGTGACTCTAGAAAGGCTCAGGGCGGACGGAGCAGGTGCAGGTGCAGACATGGGGTCCTGGGCCTGCTCCAGGGCTTGGCTGGCTCTGGGTTTTGGGTTTGCCTGCTCAGTTCTGGACAGCCAGGGCTCTGGGCGGCCTGTTGGGTGAGAACTCCTGAATCGCCGCCAGGCCCTCCTCCCTGTGAGCAAAGCTCCCGCTCACCCTCGGATTCCCTCCCGCCCACCGGGAGCTCCGTCAGGCTTGCAGTCTGCTCGTGGGTAGGGATATCTGGGCCCCTCCAGCCCCTCCTCTCTATTCAGACACCCCAGGAAGAGACACGTGGCCAACTGAGCTCTGTCCTGGGCCTGCGGGGACAGAGGGAGGGTGGGCGGTTGGGGGGGTTCAAGGCGTCAGCTGTGCTCCTTGCCTTCCAGTCACCCCGGTGTTCAGCAGCGTTCCCAGCGACCAGACGGTGGAGGTGGGTTCCAATGTGCAGCTGCCATGCAGCTCACAGGGCGAGCCCGAACCCACCATCACCTGGAACAAGGTACCGCGGGGGGCGAGGGCGCAGGGTGGTGGGGGACTGCAGGGCAACTTCCAAATCATGGGTCCAAGGGGAAAGATGTGCTGCTGTCCTCAATAATAAAACCAAATGAGACAGACAGCCTGGGATCTTCCCCTCCTCACAGCCTCATGGCACAATAGCAGAAAAACCTGCCTGCTAGACCCTTGGCCTCACCGTCAGCAGGGAAGGTTCTTTGTGGTTTTGTTTTTCTACTAGATGCCCAATGCACAAAGATTCATTTGTGCAGAATGGCCTTCCTTCCCATGGCTGCTGGCGCCACTTTCACTCTGGCCTGGAGCCACCTCTCCCTTTTCACACTGCCCAGAGGCCCATAGCAGCTGGGGCAGTGTGGAATGCCTGCGTCCCATTCATTCCCTGGCCGCTCAGTGCCTGTGTATGCAAATTAACCCACCATCTTTGTTGGATTAATTTGCATCCTCACTCCTGATTGGCTGCTTAGTGCACGAAGGTACGGTCCATTTGCATCTTTTTTATTAGTGTAGATTGTTTTTATTAAGCCCCATTAAAACACAACGTACACTCAGGTGCTTAAAATGAGGGGTGTCCTGGGTGGCCAGAAAGCATATGTGCCTTGCTTCCTTTCTTGTATGGGATGTCGCTGTCCCAGGAGGCAGTGCTCAGCCCCTCTCCCTTCCAGGTGCCTGAATTCATGCCTCCACACTGCAGTCTGTGCTGTCCCGTCCCACCCCCTCCACCACCACCCACCCCCCGCCTGCCCATCCTGGAAAATCCCAGGATTGTGGCTTCTGTCTGGATCTTCCCTGAGCCTAGGCAGGGCATCAGACAGTTTATCCCATGGAATCCGTACTGGGTGAATCTGATTCACCTCCTCTTTCCGATTGTGGGTAAACCTGCCCTTGGCCTCCTAACGTTCCCACCTGTGAGGCCCCAGCGATGGCCCCCGCGCCACCTGTCACGGACAGTACTGCTCCACGTCTTATTCCTGCGATGTCTCCCCTTTGCTCCAGGATGGGGTCCAGGTGACAGAAAGTGGGAAGTTTCACATCAGCCTTGAGGGGTTCCTGACGATCCACGACGTGGGCACTGCGGACGCCGGCCGCTATGAGTGTGTGGCGCGCAACACCATCGGGCAGGCCTCAGTCAGCATGGTGCTCAGTGTGAGCGGTAGGTTGCCCGGCCAGGGTTCCTGCAGCTGGCAGACACTCCACCCACATGGGTTCAGGCCGCGGGAGGAAGGCACAGGCTCTCAGCACAAGGCCTGGCTCGTGGGGTATTAGAAAGGGGCATGTCCACACTCCTCGTTTGCAGGGAGGCCACCAGGGCACCCTCGGTAGGTGGCAGGGCCAAGTGGGCTCAGGAGTCCCTCCTTCCCCCTGCCCGGCGAGGTCGCTGAGTCCGACTCACTCGGCAGAGCCTCCTGCCCTTGGTTTGGTGGTGGGTTTAGCCGTCCTCCAACCCCTTCAATCCACCGTGTGTCCGTCATCACTTGGCAACAGTTCGGTGCTGTTATTGCCAGATCCTTACCCCCCGAGCTCAGGAGACGAGTGTGGCCAGGCCTGTTCCCAGGGTGTAAACATCCGAGTGTCTTCCACATAAACCTCCACGTAATCCCCGAAGCAGCCGGCCCGTCTCCCTGAGCTCCGGGGGTTAAAGAACGCCTCCCTGGCCGGCCAGTGTCTGACATTATAGCCACGTTTTCCCTGTTCCTTTAGACCAGCCGTGGGGGACTTTTTTCTGCCGAGGGCCATTTGGAATTTGTAACATCATTCACACGCAGGCCATACAAAATTATCAGCTTAAAAGTTAGTCTGCTATAATTGGTCATTTAATTAACTCAACCCTAATGCCTTGGCAGGGCCAGACCAAATGATTTCTCGGGCCCCATACAGCCTGTGGGCTGGACACACACACACACACACACACACACACACACACACACACCCCGGATTAGAAGGTGTAGTGTGACTCCACAAGTGAAAAGTCTGTAATTCCAACACTGTTTGGAAGCAGCTTCCAGTAGTTTGTGATGAAGTGAGTTAAGCTCTGGTGTGAGGAACAAAGCCCTGGGAGACGTGTGCCTCTGTCTTGATGACGTAGCGTCTAGACGCTGAGAACGCGTCCCGGGCCCTGGTAACCAGCAGCTCCGTGTTCTCCTAGTGCCTGACGTCAGCCGAAATGGCGACCCCTTCGTGGCCACATCCATCGAGGAGGCAATCGCCACGGTGGACAGGGCCATAAACTCCACGCGGACACACCTGTTTGACAGGTAGGGCGCGGTCTGGCCCGCCTCCCTGAGCTCGACGAGGGGAATCTGGCCATTTTGGTCCAGAGTGACTGTGGCCTCATCGGGAGAAAACTTCACTTGAAAACCATCCACAAGGCTGGCGCCCACTCCCCGGGGGTTAAGACAACAGCCGCGTCCTTTCCAAGTGGAGCGTGGAGCATGATTCACAAGTCAAACATTTCTTAAAAACGGCAACACGGCCTTTTGGCTCATTGCTAAATGATTTGGCAAAAACAATCTATTTCACAAACCATTAGGGGATGTGTTCGTGTTGGCCAATTCCAAGGTGTTTTTCCTGTCTGAACTAAAGTCGAGCGTTGCTGTTTTCTCCCTGGAACTAATGACCTGTTTGTGTTTGGTTTCTCTTGGTTTTGTTTTTGTTGCCTTCCACCTGGGATCAGGCAGGTACGGTCGCCCCTAGAGAAGTAGCTGTGGGAACATGAAGCCGCAGTCCTGTTGTTGGGTGCCAGTGATTTCTGTCTCTGACTGTCCCCTCTTCCCTCCTGCCCTGACCTCGCCAGCCGCCCACGCTCCCCCAACGACCTGCTGGCCCTGTTCCGCTACCCGAGGGACCCCTACACCGTGGAGCAGGCGCGTGCCGGCGAGATATTTGAGCGGACGCTGCAGCTGATCCAGGACCACGTGCAGCGCGGCCTCATGGTCGACCTCAACGGAACCAGTCAGTACCAGGCTCCTCCCTGCCTCTTCCTGGCGAGCGGGGTCACACCCCCACCTGCATGCCTTCCGAGGGTCGTGCTCCAGCCTTCTTGTCCCGCGTGACTGTGAAGGGCCCCGTCGGGTAACAGTGAGGGTCCCACCTCAGGTAACAGGGACCCTCTGGCATATGAGCTGGGCGGTCCCTGCCCACTGGCTGTGACCCAAGGTCTGCGGGCAAAGGAGGTTTGAGGGAGGACTTTGCAGGACAACCGCCGTGTAGGTGGCGCTGTGTCCACGTGGCTATTGGAAAGGCTGTGTGTGGAGCTCTAGCCTCTGTCCTGGGGGATGATGGGTGGCATGGGGTGACTGCCACCGTGTCACTGTGCCCCTGGCATGGCATTGCCCCGAGTGACAGGTGCCTGTGCCGGGTAGGAGTGCCGAGCAGGAGGGTTAGTGGTGCTGTGAGAGATGGTGGTGACTGGGTTTTACTGTGTAGTAGCATCCTTCTCATCAGCAGCTGTTTGCTCAGGGTTGTGCATGAGCCTATGTGCTGCTGGGGATAGTTCCGGAAGCAGCCGACCTGAGAATGGGGTGCTACATGATTCACAATCCTCTGCTTCCCGGCTTTTCCTTGGGTTCCGCCTTGTCTTTGAGGGGCGCCTTTTGCCATCAGGACAGAAACATTGAGGGAGGACTGAACGCTATTCCTAAGGACACGTGTGTGCAGTGGGGGCAGTCCTCCCGGTTCTGGGACCGGTCTGAGCCCAGTGTCCCGGAGGCCGGCTTGTGTGGGTGCCTCCTGTTCTCCATCCTCAGGGTCATCTCCACTAGTCTCTATGGCGACCCCCAGCCTCCGCTCCCAGAGAAGCATCTCTGCCGGGTACTCCCTGCTGAGTGCCGGGGACAGGCCTGGGCGGGGGTGTCTGTGGAATGACCCAGGAGGGAGGTGGCAGTTGGGGACCAGGTGCCCTGGAGAGGGTGTGTCCCGGTGTGAAGACAGAGGTGACTGTCACTCAGCCTGGCTGGAGTGGATGCTCGCACAGATGTCCACCTGAGGCGTTTACCTGCAGGCCTGCCTGGGTCCTTGTTATGTGACCTGGGAGGGATCCCTCGTGGGGAATGGACTGGCTTTTCTCCAATAACAGCACCTTCCAGGTCCTGTCCCATCCTGAAAAGGTCGCTTGTCCATCCCTTAGTCTTGGATACACACTTTTTCTCAGTGTTTTCACCCACAGCAGTTGTCTGCGTTCTGAGGTAGTTTTTATTTCTAAAGTGAGCTGGACAAGGGCGTGGCTGCAATGGCAGTGGCAGACTGCAGCCTTCCCGGGAACATCTCCTTTCCCAGACCCGCTGCCTGCATCTGTAGACAGGTCTGCGTCTGACCAGGGGGAGTTCAGACGCTCTGGTTCCAAGTTCACGGGCTGCTGGGTCCGGTCCACCCGGTGCTGGCTGGTGCCCGCCCGCGGCTCGGCTCCTGGTCCCTGCAGTGGGGCGGCCTGGGAGGCGGCCCCGGAGCTGCCGCTGACCCTCCACCACCGCTGCAGGCAGAGGGGCTGCGCAGGGAGGCGCCTCGGCTCAGGTGATGTGGGTGGAAGTGGTGCTTGGTGTTCAGGACGGAGGATGTGGAAGTTCAGGGGGAACTGGGAGGAGGTGGGCGTGGCAGTGTCTGCTGTGATCTCGGGAAGCACACCGTCTGCCCAAGCCTTCCGTCCCGGTGAGCGTGGCCTGGGTGCCCGGATCCCGGTGTCCCATCCCCAGCAAAGCACTCGTGTCCCCGGTGCTTCTCCCTGGCCGGTGGGGTTTCCTCACCGCCGGTTCCTTATGCATCCATAGGGGGGTTTCGAGCACGCCCCTACAACAAGGAGGCCGTGTCAAGTGCATGAGACTGGGCCTAGGTTCAAGGAAGTGAGGATGACTGAGATCTGGCGGTGCCAGCCAGTGTTGGGGGTGCAGGTGCTGCTGTGAGTGTGCTCGGGAGGGGAGCTGTTCCGCTGGCCTGAGTGCGCCCCTGCGTGCCTCAGAGCGTGCCCCACTGCGTACATGCTGGTGGGCGGAGTTCCTCCTGCCTGAAACATGGCAGTGATGGAGGTGGGAACCCCTCGGAGAGGCTGGAGGGCTGTTCCCGCGCCCCCTTCCCCCCTCCTCCTCTCCCCTCCGCCCTCTCTCCTGGAAGCACAGGCCCGGAGTCCGTCCGCGGACTCGAGTGCATAAGCCGCCCGTCCTTCCCCGCAGGCTACCACTACAACGACCTGGTCTCCCCGCAGTACCTGAGCCTCATCGCCAACCTGTCGGGCTGCACCGCGCACCGGCGCGTCAACAACTGCTCGGACATGTGCTTCCACCAGAAGTACCGCACGCACGACGGCACCTGCAACAACCTGCAGCACCCGATGTGGGGCGCCTCGCTGACGGCCTTCGAGCGCCTGCTCAAGTCCGTGTACGAGAACGGCTTCAACACGCCGCGCGGCGTGACGCCGGGCCGGCTCTACCACGGGCACGCGCTGCCCATGCCGCGCCTCGTGTCCACCACGCTCATTGGCACGGAGGCCGTCACGCCGGACGCGCAGTACACGCACATGCTCATGCAGTGGGGCCAGTTCCTGGACCATGACCTGGACTCCACGGTGGTGGCGCTGAGCCAGGCGCGCTTCTCGGACGGGCAGCACTGCAGCTCCGCCTGCAGCAACGACCCGCCCTGCTTCTCGCTCACCATCCCGCCCAACGACCCGCGCGTGCGCAACGGCGCGCGCTGCATGTTCTTCGTGCGCTCCAGCCCCGTGTGCGGCAGCGGCATGACCTCGCTGCTCATGAACTCCGTGTACCCGCGCGAGCAGATCAACCAGCTCACCTCCTACATCGACGCCTCCAACGTGTACGGCAGCTCGGAGCACGAGGCGCGCGCCGTGCGCGACCTGGCCAGCCAGCGCGGGCTGCTGCGCCAGGGCATCGTGCAGCGCTCCGGCAAGCCGCTGCTGCCCTTCGCCGCGGGGCCGCCCACCGAGTGCATGCGGGACGAGAGCGAGAGCCCCATCCCCTGCTTCCTGGCCGGCGACCACCGCGCCAACGAGCAGCTGGGCCTCACCAGCATGCACACGCTCTGGTTCCGTGAGCACAACCGCGTGGCCGCCGAGCTGCTGGCGCTGAACCCGCACTGGGACGGCGACACGCTGTACCACGAGGCCCGCAAGATCGTGGGCGCGCAGATGCAGCACATCACCTACCGGCACTGGCTGCCCAAGGTGCTGGGCGAGGTGGGCATGAAGATGCTGGGCGAGTACCGCGGCTACGACCCCGGCGTCAACGCCGGCATCTTCAACGCCTTCGCCACGGCCGCCTTCCGCTTCGGCCACACGCTCATCCACCCGCTGCTCTACCGGCTGGACGAGGCCTTCCGGCCCGTGGCGCAGGGCCACGTGCCGCTGCACAAGGCCTTCTTCTCGCCCTTCCGCGTCGTCAACGAGGGCGGCATCGACCCGCTGCTGCGCGGCCTGTTCGGCGTGGCGGGCAAGATGCGGGTGCCCTCGCAGCTGCTGAACACGGAGCTCACCGAGCGCCTCTTCTCCATGGCGCACACCGTGGCGCTGGACCTGGCCGCCATCAACATCCAGCGCGGCCGCGACCACGGCATCCCGCCCTACCACGACTTCCGCGTCTACTGCAACCTGTCGGCCGCGCACGACTTCGAGGACCTCAAGAACGAGATCCAGGACCCCGAGGTCCGCGAGAAGCTGCGCCGGTGAGTGCCCGCCTCCCGTGTGTGTTTTCTGTGGGTTTATCCAGGCCAGGGGCGCTCGCCCGTCCTAACGCCGCCGGGCAGGCCCGCACCGGGCACGCTGTGCCCGCCTCCCGTGTGTGTTTTCTGTGGGTTTATCCAGGCCAGGGGCACTCGCCCGTCCTAACGCCGCCGGGCAGGCCCGCACCGGGCACGCTGTGCCCGCCTCCCGTGTGTGTTTTCTGTGGGTTTATCCAGGCCAGGGGCGCTCGCCCGTCCTAACGCCGCGACCCTTGAATACAGCTCCTCGTGTTGTGGCGACCCCAGCCGCACAGTTACTCCCGTGGCTGCGTCAGGACTGTAATTCTGCTTCTGTCGTGAATCGTCATGTAAATGTGTGTGTTTTCCGATGGTCTTAGGAGACGCTGCTCGCGGTTCTCAAGCTGTGGGTCGTGGCTTTAGGAAGTTTGAGAACCACTGATTTAAAGAGAGTGAAAAGGAGAGGGAGAGGCAGAGAGAAACGTCCATGTGAGAGACACATGGGTCGGCTCGGCTGCCTTCCACACACCCCACTCCGGGATCGAGCCCACAACCCGGGCATGTGCCCTGACCAGGAATCGAACCGTGGGTCAGAGGTCCACACTCACCACTGAGCCACACCGGCCGGACAGTTACTGTATTGTTTTCCATACGAGGAGGAGGAGGAGGAGTTAAAGCATAGGAGGAGTGGGTTAGACGTGTGTTCGGGCGGTCTGAGAATGTACGAGCATGACGGAAAGGGCTTTCTGTGCGTGCTGCCGAGCTTCCCAGACACGCCGTTCAGCGCACTCAGGCCTCCCTGTCTTCCAGGCTGTACGGGTCCCCCCTCAACATCGACCTGTTCCCCGCCCTGATGGTGGAGGACCTGGTGCCCGGCAGCCGCCTGGGGCCCACGCTCATGTGCCTGCTCAGCACGCAGTTCCAGCGCCTGCGGGACGGGGACAGGTGAGCGCGGAGCGAAGAGGAGGGGTCGGGCTTCCGGCACCTTTTGGGGACTCAGGAGCGAGGAACCGTGGACGGCGGCCATGTCCCCCGAGTGCTGGCAATGACGGCGACGTCACGCCTGTGCTGCCCGTTGTGTGGGCTTGTAATAGACTTCTTACCAACGTCAGAGAGGAAGGGAGCGGGGGGACATCAGTGATGAGAGGGAACCCTGGCCGGCCACCCCCTGCACACCCCACACTGGGGATGGAGCCCGCAACCCGGGCAGGTGCCCTGACCGGGAATCGAACCCGGGACCTCTTGGTCCACAGGACAACACTCAACCCACTGAGCCAGGCCAGCCAGGCTTGCTATTCCTGTGTGACCACGCCCGGCTGCTGGCCCTGCCTCTCGCAGAGAATTAGCGCTGGCCATTCAGCTGCCTTCCCGTCCCCCACCCCCGTGGCTGTTGAGAGGGTTTCTGTCCCTCAAAGTGGACGGTCTGCTGGTTAAACCACGCTGGGTGCCAAGCTCCAGGCGGGATGGCGAGGTGCCGTGTGGTCGCTGGGTCCGTTGGCTCAGCAGGTGGCTGCGGCCCCTCCTGTCGCCGCGCCATCCGGCTGGGCCACGGCCGTGGCTGTGGAAGGGCCTGTGCTGCCGGTCAGGGGCCGCCTCTGGTCGCGCGGTCGTCCTGCTTTGTTTTGAGCGGGAAGCGTGAGCCACTGTCCACCGTCAGGGCCCCGGTTCAGACCAGGGGGCCGGCGTAGTTGGGCACGAGTGGAGGACGCCAAGTCCAGCTGCTGTGGTTTGAGTCCACATTCCTCCACCTCATTCTCCTCCCGGACGCAGGCTGTGGTACGAGAACCCGGGGGTGTTCTCGCCAGCCCAGCTGACGCAGATCAAGCAGACGTCGCTGGCCAGGATCTTGTGCGACAACTCGGACAACATCACGCGTGTGCAGCGGGACGTGTTCCGGGTGGCGGAGTTCCCCCACGGCTACAGCAGCTGCGCCGACATCCCCCGGATGGACCTGCGGGTCTGGCAGGACTGCTGCGAAGGTGATGGCCCTCTGCCCGTGACGGAGATGCCCGCGAGCGGGCGGACGGCAGTGCCAGCGGAGGGTGGCGGGAGCAGGCCCAGGCTGCGGCCTTGCTGGGTTAGGCGCGTCCGTGCCCAGGCGTCTGTGGGACCTGCACCAAGTCCCGGGGAGGATTTCAATGACAGGTCGTGTTTAGCGTGACGGCTAGTGTGACCGCATCTCTGGTCCATCAGTCGTTCACTGTTCCGTGTTGCTGTGTGTGTGTACATGTATCTATCTGTATGCTGGGCTTATTTTTTTAATGTATTTTTATTGACTTCGGAGAGGGAGAGAGAAACATCAATGAGGAGAGAGAATCGTGACCGGCTGCCCCTGCACGCTCACACGGGATAGAGCCACAGTCCTGGTTCATAATGGATGCTCACCTGAGCCACGACAGCCTGGCCGAGCGCAGGTTTCCGTGAACGTTCCGTTCTCGGTGCTGCTGCTCCATCATTTACCCAACGTTTTAGGCCCCAAACCTTGAGGTTCTGTGTGGACGGAGCCTTTTGGCCGTCCAGGGCGCGGGCTCCCTCCTGCCGTTCACCACTCCCAGCAGCGTCCTGGTCTGACCGCCATCGATCTCGTGGCTCCTTCCTCCCGGACCTCCCTCTGACCAGACGCAGCCCCGCCCAGCCTGGCGCTCTGTGGCGAGCAGGGCTGTCGCCAGCCCTGAACATCAGGGTTCGTCCCAGGCGGGCGAAAGACAGGACACTCTTTGTCCTGAAGTCGGAGCTGCTGGTGGCTAACTCTCCCCCCTCCCCAGACTGCAGGACCCGCGGGCAGTTCAGCGCCTTCTCCTACCATTTCCGAGGCCGGCGGTCCCTTGACTTCAGTTACCGGGAGGACGAGGCCCCCACGGAAGCCGAGAAGACACTGAGGTACGGCATCCCGGAGGGTCTGACTCTCCACCCCGCGGGCCAGCTGGGCCCCGGGCCAGGACTTCCTGCCGGCCGCCGGCTGGGTCTGGGGCCCCAGACAGACCTGGTGCCCTGGGGCCTGCAGTGTGAGTGTGCGACGCCTCCTGTCTCCTCTCCTGCAGCAGCGGGAAGCCTGGCCAGCGCCCCAGGAATGCCACGGCCGCCTCCTCCGAGCACCCCCAGGCCCTGGGGCCCAGCGACTTCCGGGACTTGGTGCTGGACATGCAGCAGACCATCACGGACCTCCGGACACAGGTGCCACCCTCCCCCGCCCCCCCCTTAGCTCACGTACCCCACAGTCTCATCTCCGAGACCCGGGTGAACTCTGCAACGCCCCCACCTGGGCCCAGGGCTTCATCGCCTGCTGGCTCTTCTCCTGCTGGTCCTGGGCTGAGCCACCGAGGCCCTCCAGTCCCGGTGGTCAGGACCCTCAGTGGGACCCAGGCTCCCGGGCAGGGCCTCGGGGTGACCCCAGGCTCCTGGGCAGGGCCTCGGGGGCCCTGCGCCCGCCTGGCTGTAGGCACCACGTCCCCTCCACCTGTGAGACTGGAGGGTCTGAGGCCAACGACTTGGGTGCAAGGGGCTTCAGACTTCCCCGGGAGCTTCGTTCCAGAACCACTGACACCCGGGTGGGCACCCACCTGAGGCGACGTGGGCGGGGCCGTCCCGAGCTCAGGAAAGCCGTCGCTGTCTGAAGCACGTTGGAGCCCACAGCATCCTGCAGAGCCGTGCCTGTGGCCCGGGAGGGCAGGCGAGGGCCACGCCCCCAGGACTGACCAAACTTACGCTGGCTTTGCAGATAAAGAAGCTGGAGTCGCGGCTCAGCACGGCTGAGTGCACCGGCGTGGATGGCGAGCCCCACGCAGATGGCGCCCGGTGGAAGCGAGACGTGTGCACCATCTGTGAATGCCGCGTGAGTACCCGGGGCCTGGACCACGGACTCGGCAGCAGAGTCCCGAGCCCCAGTGGGCGGCCGGGTGGTCAGCGGGCTCCCTCACCGGCAGGTCTCCTCCCTCTCCCGGCAGCCATGGTGTGCACGCCTGCAGGGACGGAGGGCAGGTGCTGGGCGTCCCCGTGGCCAGGGTCTGGTGCAGCTGGGTCGGGCAGGCAGTTCTGGGAAGACCCACAGGGACAGGAAGAACCAGAGGGTCAGGCCCGGGCACCGGTGGGAACACTGCGGGAAGCAGGGTAATATGGGGTCATCTGGGAACTGACCGGCTGGCGCCTCTCCCTCCAGGACGGGCAGATCACCTGCTTCGTGGAGGCCTGCCCGCCCGCCGACTGCCCAGCCCCCGTGAGAGTTGATGGCGCCTGCTGTCCGGTGTGCCTGAGGGAGCTCATGGGAACTCAGCCGTAGACCCCTCCGCTCCTCGCAGCTCTGCCAGCGCCCAGGTCACCGGCCAGTGCAGGGAGCAGACGGGCGGGCGCCGAGGACTCGCATGGCTTATGGCCATCTCGGGCGTCTAGAAGCCACACGGGCTCAGACTGGAGTGTCCACAGAGCTGGAGGCCACGCAGTGGACAGACACGAGTCCTAACTTCACGTTAGATTCTCAGGTTTTTATTTAATTTTTTTATTGAAAAGTGGTGCTACTATTAAACCGCACAGTTAAGTCATTTAGGCTCCCGATTGCTGTCCCCATCCCACTGCTCCCCGTGATGGAGCCACTCCGCCCGTCTGGCCCGCCAACCACCGCTGGAGGCAGCCGTGGGGAGAGCGTAGCGTTCGGCAGGCAGAGCCATCTGCCGGCCCTTCCCTGGCCTTGGCCACGTCCATGCGCCCAGCAGCGCCTCACGGCCAATCCCGCTCCCACACTCCTGCGGCGTCTACACTCCTGTCCCCGGGCCTGAGGCTGCCAGCCACCGGGAAACAGGCCTGTCTTCCCGGTGACCCTGTCGCCCGGTGGTGGCCACGCCGGGCTCCTGCTCCCCCGGCTGCTCCAGCCGCCGCACCGTGGGACCAGCCCTCCTCCCTGACCCGGCGATGAGCGCCTTGGAGACGACGCCCGTACCTCGTCACGTGTGATTGCCAACCGAGCGTCCAGTGCCCGCTGCAGCAGATGCCGCTGCCCCACAGGCCTTTGGGGTTCAGTGAGACGCACCTCGTACCTCAACGGACCAAAACCTCCCGCTCTGTTCTGTGTCCTGAGACGTGTGTCCCTGAACACGCAGGTCCCGGGCGCTGAGTGGGATCCAGAGGAGGGGCCCGCCCTCCTCCAGGCACACGGCAGGGAACCGCTGGCGCTGTAGCTTCCTCTGGAAGAGTCAGGACCTTGGACCCGTTTCCAGAGCCAGAAGGTGGAGGCGCTGGGTCTGTCAGGGGCTCGGTGTCTGGCGGCAGCAGACCATTCGGGAGCGGTGGGCTCCTTGAGGGTCACCTGTGGCTTCGGGCAGAGGTGACGGGCACGTGCATGGGGAGGCCCCCCCCTGGAGGGCTGCGGCTGCAGTGGCGTGTCTGTGGGGCCAAGGGGGAGTCTCAGCACAGGGGGCACCGTGGACAGGGCGGACGCGCCGTGGTGGGAAGCCATGTGTACATGTTTATTTTCTTGCCTGACTGGCAGCAGCCAGATCCTTACTATCCTGTAACCAGTTCATTACCAAAGAAACGTTTGCACTATGTACCAACCCTTTCCGTTCGAATAAACAGCCACCTGTTCCCAGAGGAGGCAAGGTGACTTTCTTTCCCGCAGAGTCCTGCTCGGGCCACACCCGCAGGGTCAGACGTGGTGCAGGGAGTTCTGTCCTCCTTATCTCCCGTGTCACAGAGCCCTGTCCTCCACGCCTCCCATGTCAGAGCCCCGTCCTCTGCGTGTCCTGTGTCACAGAGCCCCGTTCTCGGCGCCTCCCGTGTCAGAGCCCCGTCCTCTGCGTGTCCTGTGTCACAGAGCCCCGTTCTCCGCACCTCCCGTGTCAGAGCCCCGTCCTCTGCGTGTCCTGTGTCACAGAGCCCCGTTCTCGGCGCCTCCCGTGTCAGAGCCCTGTCCTCCGCGCCTCTTGTGTCACATAGACCCATCTCCGAGTGTCCCATGTCACAGAGGCCCATCTCCGAGTGTCCCGTGTCAAAGGCCCATCCTCCACGCCTCCCATGTCACAGAGGCCCGTCCTCCTCGCGTCTCGTGTCACAGAGGCCCATCCTTCAAGTGTCCCGTGTCACAGAGCCCATCCTCCGAGTGCCCCGTGTCACAGAGCCCCGTCCTCCACGCCTCCCATGTCAGAGCCCCGTCCTCCATGCGTCACAGAGGCTTGTCCTCCGTGCCTCCCGTGTCACAGAGTCCTGTCCTCCACGCCTTCCGTGTCAGAGCCCTGTCTTCACGCCTCCCGTGTCACATAGACCCATCTCCGAGTGTCCCATGTCACAGAGGCCCATCCTCCACGCCTCCCGTGTCAGAGCCCAGTCCTCTGTGTGTCCCGTGTCACAGAGCCCTGTCCTCCTCGTGTCCCGTGTCAGAGCCCCGTCCTCCACTCGTCCCGTGTCAGAGTCCATCCTCTGCGCCACCTGTGTCACATAGACCCATCTCCGAGTGTCCCATGTCACAGAGGCCCATCCTCCACGCATCCCATGTCATAGCCTGAGCTGCTGGCATCATCGTGACCAGTAGCCTCGAGTGGACCACGTCCCCCTCCCAGGTTGGAGCTGGGCCCCACCGGAGACCTTGTCCAGTCGTGTGTGAGGAAGGAAGCCCAGCCCAGAAGCTCCCCCTGCTCCCTCCCCTACCCCCTCCCCCTTCCATTCCGCCTCACAGTCTGACCGCTTCCCTGACTGACAGGCTGAGCTTTGGCCTCATGGTCGGGCTTTTCCTGGGGGATGGCCTTGTCACCGCTCATGCTCTCCTCCACGTCGAGCACAGGTTCCCTTTTCTGCGAATGTCACAGAGAGGAAGAGAGTGGGATAGAGAGTTAAACATCGATGAGAGAGAATCATTGATCAGCTGCCTCTTGCACACCCCTTACTGGGGATGTGCCCGCAACCAAGGTACATGCCCTTGACCGGAATTGAACCTGGGACCCTTCAGTCCACAGGCCATCACTCTATCTACTGAGCCAAACCAGTTTCGGCAGCAAAGTATTTTAAAAAATATAATTTTATTGATTTCAGAGAGGAAGGGAGAGAAACATCCATGATGGGAGAGAATCGCCGAACGGCTGCCTCCTGCAGGTCCCTCACTGGGGATGGAGCCTGTTACCCGGGCCTGTGCTCTGACCGGGAATCGAATCGTGTATGGGTTGATGCTCAACTGCTGAGCACACCAGTCGGGCCAAAGTCGGATCTGTTTCATGGCCGCTAAACCCTCCTTTAAAAGGCTGGATGTCCCAACCCTGGCTGGTGTTGCTCAGTGGAGGTTGTCAGCCTGCAGTCGAATGGGTCCCGGGTTCGATTCTGGTCAAGGTCATGACCTCGGTTGCAGGCTCTTCCCCGGCCCTGGTCGGGGCGCGTGCAGGAGGCAACTAATCGATGCGTTTCTCTCGCATCGATATTTCTCTCTGTCCTTTCCTGTGTCTTCCTTCCTCTCTCTAAAAATCAATGGAAAAACGTCCTCGGTGAGGATTAACAACAATAAATAAAATAAAAGCCTGAGTCCTCTCGGTCAATGTAAAGCCATTGCTGCCCGGAGTCACAGCTGACCCAGGATGGGGGAGCTGACTCTGAGGGAGGAGTCCCCGTACGGAGGCCACATGACCTTGGGGGGAGGCCGCACACCTTCCATTCCTTCAGCGCCCCTGCCCTCAGGCCCACGGGGAAGGGAGCTGCCCGCTGGGCTCCAGCAGGTGCCGGACACGAGGGGTTCGCATGCCGGTGCCCAGCCGGCCTTCAGGTGCAGTGACCAGCTGTGTGGCCACGGGCTGAGCCTGGCACTGGCCTCGCTTGGTACCTGTGACTCTCCTGGGGGCCCAGAGGCTTTCCTGGGGGTGAGCACATCCCCGCCTCCGTGAGCAGCAGCAGCAAAAGGCCCAGGCCCTCGGGCCCCCAGGCTCAGCGTCCTGGGGTCTCGGGGCCACCTCGCCGTCCACTCTTCCCTCCCAGCCCCGAGCCGACCCAGGCGTGTGCTCAGCGGTGTTCTATCAGCCCCGGGCCATGCACTTCCCCAGCCTCGCCCCCTGCTGTCTGCAGACACCACTCCACATGGCCATGACCCTGTCCCTGCAGACCCCACTCCACGTGGCCCTGACCCTGTCCCTGCAGACCCCACTCCACGTGGCCCTGACCCTGTCCCTGCAGACACCGCTCCACGTGGCCATGACCCTGACCCTGCAGACCCCACTCCACGGGGCCCTGACCCTGACCCTGCAGACACCGCTCCTAGTGGCCGTGACCCCGTCCCTGCAGACACCGCTCCGCATGGCCGTGACCCTGACCCTGCAGACCCCACTCCACGTGGCCCTGACCCTGTCCCTGCAGACCCCACTCCACGGGGCCCTGACCCTGCAGACCCCACTCCACGTGGCCGTGACCCTGTCCCTGCAGACACCGCTCCGCATGGCCCTGACCCTGTCCCTGGGCCCAGCCCCGTGGCCGCCCATGGCTGGGGCAGCGCCACTGAGACCGCAGCAGGAACAGCCATTGGGCCAAAGGGAACACAGCACAATGGACTTTGGTGACGGGGACCCGGCAGGGGGGCCTGGCTTCCCGGCCGATGGCAGTGACCCAACCCTAAGAAAAGCTGGGAAGGTCAGAGGTCATCTCTAGCAGCCTCGCTGTCCACCGGGGCCAGAGGAGAGCAGCCCCAGGTCCAGGTGATCTTCTGCTCCAGCTGCTCCCAGGTGCAGGGCCTCCTCCTCCTGCAGAGCAGTACACATGGCAACCGGCCCCGAGGGAACGTTCCGGAAGCCTGCAATGGGGCGGACATCCTCTCCGGTTCCCGGACTCTGCGGGTCACTAACATCCTGTGGGGCAAAGGCACGCTGGGCCTTGACAAGGAAGTCTGATTTCTCGGGGCGCGGCCGCACCTGGAGGGGACTCACCGCCGAGCCGTGACAGGCAGGGAGGACCAGCTCAGGAGCTGGCGAGCTCGTTAGTGAACGCGTCATGGCAACTGCATGGGACACAGACTGACTAACGCTTGGTGACCGGCCCCCGGAGAGGCTGGTCTGCCAGCCTCGGACCCAGTGCCACAACCCGAGGGGCAGGGACACCTCGGGCCACGCTCAGGCCAGGGACCCGCAGCGAGTGTAGCGCCCCTTCCCTTCCCTGTGTGTCTGCTCCGAGTCTCAGACAGGAAGGGGTGGCTTTTAGCATTAGGATTAGGGTTAGGGTTAGGGTTAGGGTTAGGGTTAGGGTTGGGGTTAGGGTTAGGGTTAGGGTTAGGGTTAGGGTTAGGGTTAGGGTTGGGGTTAGGGTTAGGGTTAGGGTTAGGGTTAG